GATATACCTATTGCACTTAGAAAAGGGACTAGATAATGCACAAAGCATCCACTCTATCAAATCTACAACTTTATGTCTTTTGAAAACTATTCTCATGTTCGTGAAAGTTTTTCATAATCTTGAAAGCAGTATCCATTCCACAAAACATAATGTGAGACTTTAACCAGTGAGTAATGGAAAAATATTATGAATGTTAAAATATAGGCACATTAAAAAAAATCAGACTTGGGAAGTGGTGAATCTACTCAAAAGGAAAAGATCGGTAGGCTGCAGATGAGTGTTTTCGTTTTTGAAATATAAAGTATAAAAATATCAGTAGCCAATGGGAGTTCACTATCAAATATAAGTTTAATGGAACTATCGAGGTATATAAGACAAGGTTGATGACCAAAAGATATATCTAGACGTATTGGATTGATTATCAAGAGAACTTTGCACCCGTTGCACAGATGATTATGGTACATATTTTACTATCCTTAGCTTCTAACTTGAATTGGCAGTTATAGTTGTTTCATGTGAAGAATGTCTTTTTGTATGGAAATTGGAAGAGGAAATTTATATGAGAATTTCCCTTAGATTCACCAAAGAAGAAAAAAGAATAAGATATACAAACTGAAAATAAAAAACACTTTATGGACTTAAACAATCCTTTAGGCATGGTGTTGGATATTTGCTAGGGTGATCCTAGCAATGAGTTACAAATAGAGTCAAAGAGATTATGTCTTATTTATCAAACACTCGGAGGCAAAGGGAGTCATAACCCTACTGGTGTATGTAGATGATATAATTGTTACAAAAAATGATGAAGGAGAAAGATGGCTCTCAAGCAATGCTTGGCTAAAGAATTTGAGATTAAAGAGTTGGGAAGATTAAAATACTTCTTCTTTATAGAAATGGCTTACTCTAAGTTCTGAATATTTATATCTCAATAAAATATATTCCTAGATCTCTTGAAAGAAACTTGTAAGTTGGTATACAAGCATGCCAATAGACCAATTGATTCCATTCTCAAACTGGGACTAGTAGAGGAAAACCTCGAGCTGGAGAAGGAATTGTATTAAAGGCTAGTGGAAAAATTAATGTACTTGTCATATGCAAGGGCAAACATCTTATGTGTAGAGAATGTAGTGAGTTAGTTCATGCACAAGCGCAGAGAAGTGCATTTGCGGGGTGTCTATAGGATACTCCACTATTTGAAAAGTACTCTAGGAAAAAGAACTATAAAACATATACATATGCTAATTATGCAGATTCATTTGTGATATCCCTAATACTAATTATAACATGAGGGTGCCGGATATCAATGCAGAATGAGTGCATTAAATAAAATACATGCAGGAGAAATTTTTGCATTACAAAATCATTTACAAAATATTAGAGTTCCCAATTACATATATAATTGAGACCAAAAGTGGCGATAAAATACAAAATAATAAAATAAAAAAGAGGGCTATTTCTATCATTATATAAATGGATTCATCGGAGTACGGAATAGGACATGCATTCGTCAACAATCATGGATCCACGAGATCTAGGCAAGCTTCAAGGGGTAACTCGGAGAACTCATCATAAACATTCTCTTCGACGTCATCTGGGAGGGCCTAGTATAAAAAGGGTGAGTTCTATGAAACTCAGTAAGGTATACAATATTAAATTTGATATAATTAAGAAATTTTATAAAATCTAAAGTATTTAAGAAAAATACTTTTCTGCTTACCATTTTTTAACGATTCATTGATGTAAGAAAACATTTAATATTAAGATCATCAAATAACATATAGATAATTCATCAAGTGAAAAAATCAAACAAATCAAACATAACTTTTATTAAGTCTTTTACTATATTTCGCGCGAAACCCGTTACGACTTCTTATCTACTGGTTAGTACGAACTCCCAACTATTACTGTGGTGACACTAACGACAATTTACAGTTTGCCTAACCACAATAGATTTGCGGCTTGCTACACCATAGCTAATTTGCGGCTCGGCACACCATAGCTAATTTGCAACTCGCCACACCATATCACGATTTATGATTACGGCCGTGCTTCGTCACAGTGGTCTTAGGATATCCTACACACTTTCGCGTCATCATCAATAGGGAGTGGTCATCTCACGTCTTTGTAGACAGGGTGAGGACAACAGAAGCAGATAAAATAGTCTAACGGATTAATTTATGTTTCATGTATCCATTCATGTTTTCCATGTCATATCAACAATTTCATGTAATCTTTTCTCATTTCAATTGCATTTCAACTTCGTTCATGAAATAACAAATTAAGCTTTTTACACGATGCATGTATAATTAAAAAATTGTCATAATTAATAACTCATAACACATTAAAAATTATGCTACATTCATGCAATAAAATCAACATTTATTTTTTTATTTATCGAAAAATGCATTTTAGAATGTGTAAGAAAATACTGAATTCTTTACCGATACCGACAACTCTTTGTAATCTAGTCCCTCTTTCTCTTCAAATTTTCCTTCTCTCTCTAACTTTCTCTCTCTAAATTTCAGTCTTTAAGGGTGAAAATAGGTGAGGAAGAGTGGAGGAGGGCTTTATTTATAAGGGAAGAGAATCGTCGGATTTTCGAAAAATGTCGCGAATTCGTGAGTAGAAAGAAAATGATGACATCATCAGTGTCAATCGGTCAAGGGGAGGCACGGCTCCCAAGCGGTGGCGGCAGGGGTGCGGAGCTCGAGGTGGCACAGTGCAGGGCTAGATGGTCCACACGTGGTCCAAGTTTGCTGTGTGCCTGATGCGACAGCACTGCACGTGGGATCCACGTGCCTGACTTGCGTGTCTGCGCGCGGTACGGCACCCGGGCTGATGGGACGTGTGCCTTTGCGTGCACGCGCAGCTGGCCTGGCGCGTGTGCGCAGGTGCACGACGTGTGGGGCATTCTCACGCGAGCATGTGGGCAGGCCCGCGCAGGCTGGGGTTTTTTCTCACAACAAAATTTTTCCAAATTTTCTTTTCTCTTCTCTTTTGATTTGAAACCTTCAAAAATTTTTAAAACAAAACAACAATAAATAACTCAATGATAATAAAATAAATTTTGATAAATTAAAGAAAAACTATAGAAATTCAAAATAACATAAAATGAAAAAAAATATTACATCATAAAAGTTTAATGTCCAAGAGCCCAAATAAAATAGAGTTTTAATAGTACATGAAGCACAAAGGTGCAGGGTGTCACACTTTAGTTCACAAAAGGTCTACATCGGGATGTTGTACCTTTTTTGGAGGAAATCTAGTAACTTGGAGAAGTAAGAAGTAGAATTTTGTATCCTAATCCAACGTTGGGTCAAAGTTTAGGGCTATGGACCTTGAGATATGTGAGTTACTATAGTTAAAGATAATTTGGAAGACTTGAAGATTCAGTAGGATGGATCTATGAGATTCTGTTGTGATAATAAATCAATAATTAGTATTGCTCAGAACCCTGTGCAATATGACAGGAGAAAGTGTTAAAGTTGATCGGCACTTTATCAAAGAGAAGCTAGATAGCAGATTGATATGCACATTTTACATGCCTACTATTTTGTAACTTGCAGATGTATTGAACAAGAGATTGAGTAATCATGAGTTTCAGATTATTATTGGCAAGTTAGGAATGGATAATATCTATTCGCTAGCTTGAGGGTGAGTGTTGGAAAGTGTACTTGTGTAAATGAGTTGGGTAAAAAATATATTAGTAATATATCAATTCTTTGCGATCTTTGTAATTAACTCGGTTTCCTTATATGATTGTTAGGGATTTGTATAAATAAAATTCCAAGACTTAGTAAAGTACACAACTCATTCTTCCAGAAAAGTATCAGATAGTCACAATGTAATATTTGAAATGAAAAAATTTGCCTCTTAGCATAAAGACTAATCTTACTGATGCGGGCTTTTTTAATCCCCTCTTGCTCATTATTTCCTTGCAAATATGCACTTGCTGTCTACCAAGTGCCAGTTCTCCTGCTACATCCTCTTTAGTTCTCTCCCCCTCCTAATGAGAGTTTATAGGACTGGTATGGTTACCATAGATCAAATTTTAGTGGTATCAGCACATGTAGCTATCTAATATAATCATTACAATGGTTGATAAGAGAATTTGATTTGTGATTGTGTGATGTGACGCTCTTCATAGATTCACCAGTTCCATCTACACATGAATTCCTTCATAACATCCTGGATATGCTGGTCAAAGCCTTAGACACTATCATCAAGAAGCTGAATACCATGTGTGATATATATTTTTTTTTTGGGGAAGCCTAAGCAAGGTCCGCATTGTTTAATTTATTAAGCTCTCCTGTTTGTTTTGCTGTTAATGAACTAGTTATGCTTTTGAATTTGTCAATGCCATTTCGAGTTACAAATTCTTCTTGTGAGTCTAGGTGGCTTCAGGTGCAAGACCATTCTTGGCAATTAACAAATTGAAATGAATTGGCAATTAACAAATTGAAATGAATTTTCAGAGTGTGTGGGAGAGAGAGGAGGATGGGAGCAGGAGAGAGCGATGGTTGCGTGAAGGCCAATGGGTGTGTTTGGCATGAAAGAAAGAGGAACAAAATTTAAAAAGAGAAAAAAAGCTTGAGCAGCAAGTGAAATTTTAATTTAGGGGCATCTTTTTAAGTTTAAAATATGTTAACATGTATCGAACATGTGAAATACTTTTTATGCTGACTATTACCAGAATTCATTGATGGTCCAAATTTGAGACAAGAAGTTGGTAGGTGTAAAAAGATAATCATAAATAGAGGTCTGACTTTGTGACACCACAAATTTAGCGCATTTTTGCCTAATTTTCCCCCCTTTGTTTCTCCTTTTTTTTAGTTTTTTTTTTTAATGAATTTAATGATGGTTCATGTTGTTGCTTTACATGCTTTCATATTGGACTCTATGCTATTAGTGGGCTGTTCACTGCTGCTATATCTTTCCATATAGTTATAATATTTCCTTCAGCAATATTGTGCCGTACTTTAATTCCATTGCTGATATTTTGTTGTAAATTTTGATCGAATTCTAGATATGCACTGCTTGGAGCTGCTTCTTTTCTCGGAGGGTCAATGCGGATGACAGTGTCTCTATGTGTCATTATGGTTGAAATCACAAATAACTTGAAACTTTTACCTCTTATTATGCTTGTTCTTCTTATATCAAAGGTATAATATAAACAGCATTACTTGTGTCTCCTATTATTTATTATTCTTTTAGAAGTACTCAATTCCTTTCCAACCATAGGCTGTTGGTGATGCTTTTAATGAGGGTCTGTATGAAGTGCAAGCACAACTTAGGGCCATTCCATTGCTAGAATCAAGACCTAAATATCAGATGCGGAAAATGACTGCAAAAGAAGCATGTGGAACTCAGAAGGTGACTCTCTTTTGTCTTTTGTCTGTTTTACGGGGCTTTTAAATCATGGAAAATAGATGATGATCCATGTCCTTATGGTGTCAAAAGCAGCCATAAAGAATTACAATGATCAAAATTGTGGTCCTCTAAATTGAGAACTTGAGGAGTGGACACTTTCTGGTATATATGGGAAATAAGCAACATATTCTGTTCTATTTTAGTAGTCACCTTTTCTTCTTTGGATGTCCCAAACTATTTTAGTAATTTGGAAGTCGAACTATGCTTCGTTTGCTTTCTTATTCCAAGTTGGTTATAAATGGAACTCTTGGAAAAATCATATGTATTTACTTAAATTGGCCTTTCAAAGATGAAATAGCGAGATGGAATAGAGTAGTTCTATAGGCTTGCCTGTTCAAATGTAAATTGATATGTCACATGACAATGCCCTCCTGTATTAAGTGATTCTCGTCTCCCCTTATTGCTTGCAAAAATTCATAGATTGTTCTATTTGTATGTAACCTAACTGGTTTATTTTTCACCTTTGAAGGTTATTTCTCTCCCTCGTGTCGTCAAGGTTGCAGATGTAATTTCCATTTTACAGAGCAACAAGCACAATGGTTTTCCTGTAAGCTGAACTCTCCATGTTTGATTGCATTGTATAATCTTAGTGAATTCTGTATGCATCTTTGATATTGTGGCTCATATAGGTAATTGATCAAGTGAGGAATGGAGAAACAATTGTCATTGGGTTAGTGCTTCGCAGGTAAAGAATATTGAGTTTATACACATTCTGCATCTGTGATGGAAGTAACTTTTGGCTGAGGAATCTAACTTCTCTATTTGTTTTATAATGCAGTCATTTGCTTGTACTTCTTCAGTCCAAAGTAGATTTCCAGCATAGTCCTTTGCCTTGTGATCCTAGACCTGGATCCAGAGTAATGAGGTGAACATAAAATCTTATTTGTAATACCTGTCAGTTCTATAGTTACTTATTCCTCCTGGGTGAATCGGGTTTAATGGCAGGCACAATTTTGGTGAATTTGTGAAACCTGTTTCCAGTAAAGGAATATCCTTAGATGATATACATCTAAGCACAGATGATTTAGAAATGTATAT